AATCTTCCCGGACCAGGGCTTGAACCCGTGTCCCCTGCATTGGCAGGCAGATTCTTAACCACTGTGCCGCCACGGAAGTCCGATTTTTGTTATCATTTCTGAAGAAACTGGATTGTGTCACACATTTTCCTATGATCTTGGTTTTGCTGATACTGTTATTTTTAAGGAAATAAGAGTAACAAGTATATAATTTTTAAAAATGTGTACTTGAGTGTATGTAAATGTTTCACTTTACGCTGAAAAAAGTCTAGCTATGGAGTTTAAAATTTAATCAGGCAGGAACAATGAAGCATCAGGTATGTCTCTCCATTTTTATTCTCTCTTTCTCTTTGTTGGAAGACACCTTGGAGGATTATATGCAGAGGTGTCACTTACCCACTGCTGAGATGAACTGGGCTGGAACATGCCAGCCATTCTTTATCAAAGATGCTAAACACTTATTTTAGGCAGAGAATTGGAAGAGCCATTTTTCCTGTTGAATTTGCAGTGGGAAATTGTATGCCTCAAACCCTTTGGTCCCAACATTCCTCTCTCCCTATTCACTGTGATGAACATTGTCTTGAGGGCTGTTCATTCCAGTGGAAATATGATCACAGAATCATCTGGGTTGGAAAAGACTTCCTGAGGTCACCTGACCCCATCTGGTAAACTTAACGAGGGATTCCAACATCAACTCTCCCAGAACAAAGCTGTTTGTTAACAACTCCCATATCCCCCATAGACCCCCTTTGCATTCTAAGTCTGTTTTCTCTTTTGTCCTTCAGTGAAATAGATTATTAAATTGCTCTTTCTGCTGTGGGGTGTGTATGCCTGTACACACACATGTCTGTAGATCTTTAATTAAGATTAATTTTGATTCTTCCCTGCTGTCTTTTACAGCGCATACACCCAGAGACCCCATTCCATTCTCTGTATATAGTAATGTTTTTTATGAAAAATAAGATGTTTTCATGAGTAAATTTCGACATAGGATGGGATTATTGCAGACTGTATTTTTTAGCTACGGTGATGGTTAATTTTATGCATCAACTTGGCTGGGACGGTAGGTACACAGATATTTGGTCAAACATTATTCTGGGTGTTTCTGTGACAGAGTGTTTGGATGACATTAACATTTAAATTGGTAAACTTTGAGGAAAGCAGATTGACCTCCATAATGTGGGTGAGTCTCATCCAGTCAGGTGAAGCCCGGAATAGAACAAAAAGACTGATTCCCCTAAGCAAGGAGGAGTTCTCCAGCAAAGAGCCTGCAGACTGGAACTGCAGCACCAGTTCTCCTGGGTCTCCAGTCTGCTGGCCCACCCTGTGGATTTTTGAGCTTGCCATAACCACATGAGCCAATTCTTCATAATAATTCTCTTTCTGTATACACATCCTATTGGCTCTCTTTCTCCAGAGAACCCTGACAAATAGCGTGGGGAAAAAAAGACAAGTATATGCCCCAATTTATTTGGCTGTCTGTTTTTGAAGTGATGTTTTATATTAAAGAGATGGAAAGATCACTGGAGAAGCCATCAGAAAATTGAGATTCTGGCCATAATTTTTCTAGCAAACTGCCTTTCAGTCTCTGATCTGGTCACTTTCCCTCTCTGAGCCTCAATTTCCTGTCTGTGGAAGGAGTTTCAGCAAAAGGATTCCCAAGTATATGATTCCACGAAATACAAACATTGAACATTTGAGCCAACTACTGAGGAGTTATCTGAAGACAGTTTTTCTGAGGACTGCCCAGGTGCTAGATAAAAAAAAACGCTGAGGGGCTTCCCTGGTGGCGCAGTGGTTGAGAGTCCGCCTGCCGATGCAGGGGACACGGGTTCGTGCCCCGGTCCGGGGAGATCCCACATGCCGCGGAGCGGCTGGGCCCGTGAGCCATGGCCACTGAGCCTGCGCGTCCAGAGCCTGTGCTCCGCAACGGGAGAGGCCACAGCAGTGAGAGGCCCGCGTACCGCAAAAAAAAAAAAAAAAAGACGCTGAGGCTATACATAGGTAGTGCTGGTAGATGATGCCAAGCAGAGCAGAGAAAAAAATCTTGAACAGAAGTATTCCCTGTGCATCAGGTAGAATATTCTATTTTAGTTAAATGTAAAATCTGGGACGAGTAAATGCCTGCATGAAAACCTTTAGCTTCTGTGCCTTCTCATCTGAGGGCAGATGGTCTTAACTTTGAAGCAGCTTAGAATCTGTCTCTGCATTGCAATAATTCTTATTTTGTGTGGGAGTTGTTAGGTGGTGGCAGAGGCTTGGCAGCTGTGACAAGCTGAGGCCCTACAGCCAAACTGAGGGGTCCTGGCCCAACCATTAGACAGGAAATGCCTGACCCCAAGGACATATGTGCTATTCTTGACCATGAAGATTGGAAAGAATCTCAGACTAGCTCTGGCCAGTGGGGCTGTAAATGGATTTCTCTGTTGCCTTGGTTTTGAGACTGTCTCTTTTTTCCAATAGGGCTTCCCTCTCCAGGTAGAAAAGCAGTCACCACAAGGAGGAAACCATATTATTTTAGCTTCTCCTGTCTGGAGAGTGGTCAATACTTAGCTGCAGTCATCTTTTAGCTGTGTCTGAAATTACCATGCACCTCATGCAGCAGTCTGCCACTTGGGAGGTTGGCATTTGGGGTTGGACAGTCTGGGTGTGTGACTGGGAAGTCAGCTGGCCCTTGGGGTGCAGACACATTCACCCCGTTCAGTGGAGGCATCCCCTCCCAGTATGGTGAGGTGGAGTTCTTTGCCCTTTTCATCCTTTCTGACCACAGGCTCACCCATGAGGAGGTAGGACTCCGATGGCTGTATCCCCTGAGAGGCGGGTTGACTGTTTACCCAGTTGGTGCCTGAAGATTGACAAATGATGAACCCCCCGGAATCCCCGGTTAGACCCCAGTTATGGTCATGAGTTCAGCCTTTAGAGCCGCAGACTTAAATTGTTTTTCCAGCATTCTACGCAGCCGGGCGCCCCTGCCGGACTCTGCGATGGAAACCATCCCTGGGGAGAGAGTGGTGCGCAGGGGGCGTGGGAAGTGAAGGGAGGAAGCACTGAGGGCTTCGGGGGAGGCGGGATCTGAGCCGCGCCGAGGTAGGGAAGGGACCGCCAGAGCAGAGGGGACCGGAAAGGAGCTGCAGCCTGGAGGAGGCCGAGTGGGAGCCGCTCCTGGCCGGCCGCCTGGCCGCTTCCTTCCCCTGACATGACAGCCCCGCCGGCCTGGCTCCCGGCCACCTGGCAGTGGCTGTGGCACATGACTGCCTGTCCCGCCCGGGAGGGGGCGGGGAGAGGTCTGCTCTCAGGCGGTGGCTCCCCCAGCCTGGCCATCCCGCCTGCCCAGGGGCCGCAGGTGGGCCCGCTCCTCTCCGGGGGTTACACCCCGGCCAGCTGTCCCCTTCCCGGGGAGTGGGAATGCCATGGCAAGGAGCCAAGAGACTCTGGGGAGAGACCTGACAGTACCTAGGAGCTGTGTCATCTGGAGCTCAACTGGCTAAGCCTCAGTTTTCTTCACGTGGAAAACAGGGTGGATGACCCTCGGTGCTCACCCGACGGAATTACTGGAGTCAAATGAGAGGGATCCGCGCCAGTGCAGGGTCAGCTGCATTGGGCATCCCAACGGGAGACGACAGGCAGCAGGGGGCTGTGAGCGCCGCACTCCACCACTCCCATTCCCGCCAGCAGGAGGCGTGACACGGGAGGTCCTGCTCAGGATACCCCAGAGAAGGACGGCCAGTGGCTCATCTACCAGGAAGGTGGGGGAGAGGTGTGTGCTTGTGGGCATCAACGTCTTGGCAAGAAGCGACGTTGAATCCTTAAAGTGGTGGCGCTTTTGCTGTTGGAAAGGAATGGGTTTTGCGTTTCTATCGGTCCAGAGGGCGCTGTTGGGAGAAGGTGCCAAGAAGCTCAGGCAGGTGAAGTTCTGATTCTGGCTCCGTGGCTGGCTCCACTTCCCCTTCCTCCACCTCATTCCCTCCCTCCCCGATCCTTCCTTCCAACATACGTTATCACATTTACTTCCACTGTGTAGCAATATCTTCAGACTGATCGGATTCGTCTTTCGCAGGGGGTTGAGCTTGTCTAGAAGGCGCTTGAGCCTAGTGACTTTATACAGTTAGAAACATTACTCTTTTCTGAGTTGGGGGGGGTAGGGGGAAAGGAACATGAAAATATTAAAGGTTCTAAAAACTAGAATTTGAGCAGTCTCGGCAAAGTTGGCTGATCCTACCCTGATGTGGTCTGCGCCCTAGAGAAGGGTTTGGTGGTGGCGGTCTTGGGTGTTTGGAAAGTTAACAGCTTGCTGTGGGAGTCAGGTAAACGAGCTGGAGTTGAATGTGTCTAACGAAACTGACAGTGGTGCCTCCCTGGATTCATGCTCCTGCTTGTGGCATGACCAGGAGAAGAGGACTCGGGCACATTCATACCCAACCTCCTCATTGAACAGAAGCCCAGAGGGGCAAGTACTTACTGTAAGTCACACAGCACAGTGTCTTTGGTGGCCAAAACCAGGGCTCTCCTCATTACTGCTAGTTCAGTGATTAGAACCAGATGCAGAATGGATCTTATTTGCCTGACTACTCCCACTATTACCTCTGTTTGGTTTTCCCCCCTTTAAACTTGTACCCCTTCTTACTGGGGGGGAGAAGAGCTCCCTCATAGATGGTTTAAGTCAGGATTTGTTGGACCACGCATACTTTAGACAAATACTTCCTGTGTGCAGAATGGGTTATCAGCATCTCCAAACCAACATGGAACTGAACTGTTTTCCCTCTCCCCAGCTCACCTAAGCAGCCAGCCCCTCCCTGGTTCTTGTCTCCACGTGGTGAGCTATTCATTAATAGAGCCTTTAATGGCCAAGCCAGAGGAAGTTTTTTGTTCGTACTTGCCAAACACCATTCTCGGTGAATATAGCTGTGAAAAGGTGACCCCCAATTTGAGAAGTGTGTGTGTGTGTGTGTGTGTGTGTGTGTTCTTTAATCAAGTAATTGCCGTAAGTTTCATATTATAACTACCATTTATTGTGTCTCTACAGTGTGCCAGCTGCTTTTCCACTTATATGGTAGGTGGCAGTGTGCTTGTTTTTATGGATGCAGAATCTGAGGTTCAGCAAGGTTGAGTCACTTGCACAAGGTGAAGTAGCTGACAAAGAACAGGATTTGAACCCAGGTCAGTTTAGCCACAAAGCTGTCACAGTGTCCTGCCTCTTCCTCATTAGCCAACCCTGGCCTTGCCTCAGAAAACATGTTGCTAGTTCTTATTTTGAGAATGAATGGAACAAAATGTGCCTAGATAGCTAGTGACTGACAGTTTGATTATACTGGTGTGTAGATAACATTTCTGAAAATTAAGTCTTCTTGATGGAGCTAAGCACAACTCCTGTCCTTGTCTTCCTTTTTGCTGCTTTTGAATAACTGTAGGTTTTCCTATAATGTATTTTATCACATTGAAAACAAAGTTGGCATATTTTGCTGATAATAGTACATCTTTATTGTAGAAAATACTGACGTTCACAAAAAGGAAAAGTTATCCCAAACAACACACCAGCTTCTCGTTAAGAATGTGGGTACTGGAGCTGGACTGCAGGGGCTTTGTCCCTGCTGTGCCACTTATGATTTGTATGACCTTGAGCTAATCGCTTAACTTAAGTGCCTAGTTCCTCGTCTCTGAAGTTGAAAATCATACCCTGCTTCATTGGGCTGTTGTTAAGATTAAATGATGCAGAGCCCCTAGAAGTGACCAAGAGATATTTAACATTTTGATAAATAATCTTCTGGTCTTCCTCTCTGAACCTGTTTAGACATGTGTAACTATATACTGGTGTGCATATACTAAGAAACAAATGAGATGGTTTTTAAACCAGCTAGTTTTCATCTAATAATATATTGTGACCACCTTTCCATACCTCTAAATAGCCTTCTCCGTTACTTGATAACTGCCTAGAATCCTATGGTGTGATGGTGTGAATGGAGCTGAATCCATATTGTGGGGCATGCAGATTTCCAGTTTTGCACTAACATAATGCATTTTAAAACAGATTTGAGTAGATGTTGTACCATGAGTGTATCTCTCTAGGCAACAGGAGCTTCCTACTCTTGCCAGAACATACCTAATCCTCCCTCCCCTGGTGTGAATAAGGATCTGGACGTGCTCCCTTTGGGAGCTCAGAGCCTCCTTAATCCTGAGTGGGGCAGCATTGTGAACTTCATAGGACAGCTCTAAATGGGGAACTTACTCAGATTCTGCCTCTCCCTGCTCTCCCCACTTAAATCTAAAAAAAAAAAAGTTTATTTATTTAATATCTCTGGTATGAACTATCTCTTGGTTCCCAAGAAATCACAAATCAGAAAGTCCGCTTGTTCCATTTTTGCTGTGTCTGAGGTGATCTCTGAGAAGGCGCTCTGTCCTTAAAAGGGTTTGGGGTAAAACCTTAAGCTTTCCTGCTTCCCAGGGTAGACTGTTAAATCCTACCCTTCATGGTGGAGGGCTGCAGTTACTTCTGCACCACTCTGGGTACCATACCCTGCCATTTTAGTTTTATGAATTTCTCGTGACACACTTATGTGATTTCCCTTACTTTATTGATAAAATTCTTCTTGCTGGTCTCAGATTGGCAGAAACCATTGATTAGGTCCCCTTTAAGTCCCCCTCCCACCTTTCCACTGCTTTCAGCCACTAGCAAACCAACAGGTCACATGTTTGAAAACCTCCTACCGCCCACCTTCGGGGTGTATTATATCTATGCTGACTCAAGGGCTGTACTTGTCTGTAGAGTCTGAGCTCCAGGAGGCAAGAGGGTGATGGGTAGAAGTGACTTGGGGTCAATAGTCCCTTGCGGGATAGACCTCTTAAAAGGTTTATGGCTTTAAAGGGATTTTCTCCTACAGCCTAATCCTGAGTGTTTGGGACCTGGCATTTTAAACAGTTATACATTCTAAAGGGACCAGCTGTGTTCCTTTAGGACACTGCTGACTGACCATCCTCAGTCCAGCCATTTTCCTGTGATGTTTAAGAGGCAGGCTTGATGTTTCCCTCTAATCTAGGGAGCATATCATCAGCTCTGAGAAAGGATATGATGTGCTATTTAGGGCCGTGGGTCTGCCAGAATTACGGAGGGGCTGGTGTGTCTTTGAGGTGTGCTGGAATGGCATCAGGACTTAGAAAGAGGAATACTGTGTGAATTCCACATTTGGACTAGTCAGAGTATCGAGTCCCTACCACAGTATTTTCCAAAGTGCTTTTTAATGTTTCCTTCTGACAGCCTCCGTGTGTGAAAGGTTATGTAGCATTATCCTCCTTGCCCTGATGAGGGCACTGAAACAATGAGAGGTTAACTGACTCGCCCTGGGCTGCAGAGTAAGTAAGGCTGACTCCACCGGAAAGGCTGCTGCCCGTAACTCCTGCTTTCCTCGCCGAAGAGTCACAGAGCCAGGGCTGCCTCTGGGAAGCCCTGTCAACAGAGGCAGGTAGGAAAAGCCGCATGCTCAGTCATATTCTTGCTAGTCCTGTTTGGGGACTGCCAAGGCAGAGAGAGAGCTGGACACTTCAACATCGGTCCAAGATCCTTGACCTGTAAAGTGTTTTGCTGCCTTGAGCTGAGCTGTAAGAGTGATAGACGGCAGACGTCAATTATTTTTGGCTCAACTGCGCAGTCTTGGCAGGGCGCCCTATACTTTTGAAATGTAAACCTGCCATCTACAAAAGGGTTTAGGAATCTGATGTCATCGTCTCCCTACAACTCACACGTTGGCCTGTTCTGTAGAGGGGTTAACCAGTTGTGCCAGGGGACGTTCCTGTTAAGGGCTCTCTACAATTAAAGTATATAATAAGGCAAAATATTTCATCAGGCTATAGAGATGGCTTCTGATACAGAGGGTCCCTGCATCTCTTCCACCACCCCCCCTCCAACAGACCTACTAAAGCTTGAACTACTTGGCTGACTGCTCACAGGAAAGCAGCAGATCCTCACTGGAGCCAGGATGCTGCTGCTGTTGGTGACACAGTCTTAGATAAGAAGTTAAAATACCGATGCTTTTGTTAGTCTTGTGTCTCCAATGTACTTTTCCTCTGGTTCCTTAGAGGCCCCCTCATAATTAGCTAAAATCCTCACAAAATTGCTGTGGGTTTGAGGAGGGCAAGCTGCCCCTCCCCCCCCAGCTTTACTGAGGTATAATTGACCTCAGTAAATAAAATATTGTATACAAATAAAAATTGTATCTATGTGGAAGAGGGCAAGCTTTAACTAGAGTAAGGAACTCATGGAACTTTGAAGCAGCACAATTGGTTTAATTCCCACTTTACTGCTTACAAGTTAGCCTTAGGCTAGTGGGGTCTTCTTTTTGAGCTTTGTAAGTTTTCTCATCTGTAAAATGGGAATACCACTGTTACCCCACTGTTAAAGCTATAGAGCCATGTTAATAGAATAATCCACTTCATATATGGAAGCAGATGGAATTGTAGTCCAGTGAGAGTTGACATGTGGCCTCATGAGTTGCCACTGTTCCTCTGCTACCCAGCCAGACCAGCCTCCTTTTCGCTCAGTTCTATTTACCTTAAAGCGTGAGATGGAGCAGAGATCTGCCATCTGGGGCTTGGAACTCTGTACATTTTATTGGACTGTGCCATTGATTTTCATGGAAATCAAAGCCAGACCTGGTAGGGGGATGAGGCCAGACTCACGTGACTTTATCTGTGTGTTTTGTCTGGAGCAGGGATCCGTGGTCACCTCCCTTGTCCTGGTCTTCCTGGATGGAACGAGAAGATAAACGGGGCGTGTGTGAAGCCCAGGACTCAGAAGACAAGGGGATGGGCTCTGATTTTGAGAACTCTGAAGACGGGGAAGGGGACCCAGAAGACAGAGGAATGGGCTCTAACCCGCATGATGCAGACAAGAGAGAATGCCACCTGGAGCAGGAGATGGGCTCCAACCCACAGGATGAAGCTCTAAGAGGGGACTCAGAGGAGAGGGAACTAGTGTCTAACATCTGCACAGGTGAGGAGAAAATGGCAGTTTCGGTGGAAGTTGCCGCATTCACATTTATTTCTAGCTCCTCCAGAGTGATAACCAGGGGCAGCATTCTTAGGAGGCAGCTCTCTAGAGGACACCATTAAGCAGATCCTGTACCATCTTACGCCTGAGGAACATCCTGTTCATCAATCTGGTCTGAGGTGGGCTGTACTGGTAAACATGGGTGAAGAGGGTAACTCACAGGCGTGCACTTTACAGCATACAAAATACTGCCATAAAGTAACACTTGTAACAGCACAAGAGGGAACACAGGTAGCATTGGGACCTACGTCCCGGCGTTGTTGGAGAGTTAGATGAGTTGCTTAGCACAGATCTAGACGTCTACAGTTACAGTCATCATCCCCGCTTGCAAATAAATAAACACAGTGGTAAGGGACCTGCCCAGGTTCATGTGGCTAATACCCAAAGTGCCCAAGGCCTCTCCTAAATCCCTTGCTATTCGTGATCTGGAAAGAGTAAACGCTGGGCCTCCATCCGCTTCCTTGGTTCCATCTTTGGGCTTTTGTTGCTTTATCCTGCTCTGTGCATGCCTTGGGGACAGAAATGAGCTGAAATGCCTTATGATCAGGGCCATGAGGTTACATTCCTTCCCCAGGACACCTCCCAGACCCCGCTACTGCCCTCCCTTACAGTGCACAGAGCACGTGGTCTTTCACATCCCAGTAACTTTCTTGGGTGTCTTCTGCTTGGGGATAAGCAGCCAGAGGCAGACAGATGTGTGTTCTGGATCAGCCTCTAAGTTGGACTCACCAGCTCTAGGCCCTGCACTCACCTCCCCTTTTTCCCAACCCCCCACCCTCCTTACATAGTAAAGCCCTTAGGTTGGGGTGTGTTTGGTTTGTTGTTCGGCCTTAAGCGGTTGCAGACTGACCAATCATATTTAAAAACTCAGTTCGGAGCCTAGTTAGGCTGGGTGGTCTTTTCTTGTGGCTGGCTGGGGTGGCCTTGTCTTTTGAGGCTAGGGCCTTGAAAGGCATTGGTGGCTCTTGGAGTGGGCAGATGTCTTCCGAGATCCCAGAGAGTCCCACTTGGCCCAGACTTGACCTTCTCAAGCTGACTGTCAGGCCTTCAGGTGGCCCTGGGGAACAGAGCCTCAGGTCCAGTGGGTGGGGCCTGGGCCCGGAGACAGCTGCCTGAAGAACTGGAAAGCCAAGGGGGCAGGTGAGCTCGCTCTCCTTTAGGCCTTCCCCAGGAGTCACCAGGTGGGAAGGAGGCTGGAAGTGGGGGTGGAGGAGACAGGGACCTTGGAGAGAGAGTTTGAGAGTCCCCGGGGGAGGGGATTACCCCGTGGCCCACCCTCTCATTGAGACGGGCTTCCTCTGAGTTTACCTGTTGAGCGCCCAGTATAGTCACCCCCGCTGCCGCCTTTTCTGTTGCAGAGGGGCTGCTGAGCGAGGAAGAAGGGGTTGCTCTCCGTGAGGAAGACGATGACCAAGCTGGAGTAGCTGAGATGGCGATGTTCGCAGGGCTGTCTGAGTCCATCAGCATTTCCCGGAGCCCCCAGGAAGAGGGGGAAGAGGAGCAGCCGCCTCCTGCCGTGCTTCCCTGGAGGCGGCACCTCTCCCTGGGGAGTCGACACCGGGGTGACAAGCCCGCCCACCGCCGATTCCGCCGGCTCCACCACCCCATGGCCATGGACCTCGGGGAGCTCGACAGCCTGATGGCCAGCATCATGGATGCGCCCACCATCTGCCCCGACTGCGGGGAGAGCTTCAGCCCGGGCGCCGCCTTCCTGCAGCACCAGCGCATTCACCGCCTGGCGGAGGCCGCCGCGGCCGCCAGCCTGGAGCCCTTCGGCTTCGCTGGCGAGTGCGGCGGGGTGGTGGGGATGATGGGCGTGGGCGTGGCGGGGGGCTTCGGGGCGGGGCCCGCGCTGGCCCGGCCCCCGCGCGAGAAGCCCTTCCGATGCGGGGAGTGCGGCAAGGGCTTCAGCCGCAACACCTACCTGACCAACCACCTGCGGCTGCACACGGGCGAGCGGCCCAACCTGTGCGCCGACTGCGGCAAGAGCTTCAGCTGGCGCGCCGACCTGCTCAAGCACCGGCGCCTGCACACGGGCGAGAAGCCCTACCCCTGCCCTGAGTGCGGCGAGGCCTTCAGCCTCAGCTCGCACCTGCTGAGCCACCGGCGGGCGCACGCGGCGGCCAGCGGAGCGGGGCCGGCGGCGCTGCGGCCCTTCGCCTGCGGGGAGTGCGGCAAGGGCTTCGTGCGCCGTTCGCACCTGGCCAACCACCAGCGCATCCACACGGGCGAGAAGCCGCACGGCTGCGGCGAGTGCGGCAAGCGCTTCAGCTGGCGCTCGGACCTGGTGAAGCACCAGCGCGTGCATACGGGCGAGAAGCCCTACATGTGCTCCGAGTGCGGGGAAACCTTCAGCGTCAGCTCTCACCTCTTCACGCACAAGCGCACGCACTCGGGTGAGCGGCCGTACGTGTGTCGCGAATGCGGCAAGGGCTTCGGGCGCAACTCGCACCTGGTGAACCACCTGCGCGTGCACACGGGCGAGAAGCCCTTCCGCTGCGGCCAGTGCGAGAAGCGTTTCAGCGACTTCTCCACGCTCACGCAGCACCAGCGCACGCACACGGGCGAGAAGCCCTACACGTGCATCGAGTGCGGCAAGAGCTTCATCCAGAGCTCGCACCTGATCCGCCACCGCCGCATCCACACGGGCAACAAGCCGCACAAGTGCGCCGGCTGTGGCAAGGGCTTCCGCTACAAGACGCACCTCGCGCAGCACCAGAAGCTGCACCTGTGCTAGGGCTGCGCCCGACGGAGGCTGCGCACTGGGGGGCGGGGCGGGGGGCTAGATGTCCTGGGGACAGACCCTGTAGAAAGAAATGGGGAAGGGGGGAGGGGCAATCGGAGAATGACTGGGGAGCCTTGAGGTGTTGGGGGTCCTGAAGGGGAGGGTTGAGTAAGAGTTGTTCTTTCGGGGGTGCTGTATTTTGCCTGCCTCCTCCGTAACGAAGAAATGTTTGGGAGGTGTGCTTGAGCGTGGCGACATACACGCTGTGGAGGATGAAGAGCGTGGAGGTGCAGGCACTTTGAGGACCTTGAGGAAGGGGAGTTGGGGGTGGGGGAGGGTACGGGATGACGGGCAATAGAGTAGCTTGGGCAGTGATGGCCCGTGGGAAGCGGGGAGAGCTGGGAGAGCCTGTGGTTGGAGTGAGGGTTACGGGGTAAAGTGAAAGGCGGGTGTGAGTAATTCTGTCCTGGTTTCAGCAGGTATTAAGCCACTGTTTGCCCTGTCCGCACACATCAGCTATAGTCCCGCGAAAAGTAGAGGAACTTTGTCCGTCCTACAGGAGTGGATATTTGTGTGCTCTACCCTTCCTTCCTCTGAGCCACAGCTAGCTGCTATTTTGAGGTGTCCAGGGGAAACTGGGCAGAAAAGCTACGCACCCTCGTCTCCAGGGTGGAACCTCTGAGGTTTAGAAATTCATTCACAACTGGTTTTCAGATCTGGGAAATCGTGGTCCTGCTCCTGGTTCTTTGCTACTTCCTTTAAAATAGTCTAGCTTCATGCTGGGTCAAGGTAGTCTGTGTGGATGACCAGACCCCTGCCCCCGGTGTCAGGTGTGTTCCAGGCCCAGTATTTCTTTCAGGTCTCATCTGTGATCTTTTTAAGTGCTGGGAAATGGAACAGTCGCAGCTATGTGTGACTTTTCCTTTCCCAGGTCAGCTTGATGCTTGTTTCAAGTGAAACTCAGGCCATCAACAGTTGCCCCAGCGACCTGCTACAAAAGTCAGTTTGCTCAGAGTTTTGCTGGCCTTATGTGAGAAATCCAGGAAAGCAAATGTTCCCATGTTGGGGCGCCAGGCCCCTTCGTCTCATCTGCCTTCATTTTGTATCTGTGTACCCCTCCCCCTCTGCAGTAATGGGGGAGATATTCGAACCCATACCCCCACCCATGTTGATATGGGCTCTGGTCTGAGTAGAAATTTCTCTTTCCTGCACAGGGCGGCACAGTAGAAAGCTCAAGACTTTACACAAGGAGGGCACAAGCGGGAAGAGGTGTAAATGCAAAATTGCCACATAGCACAAGCAACGAATGTCTTCCGGTTGTTATATAAATGCCAAAATAGCACTTTTGTATTTCGAAAGTGCTTTCTGCTTTTTAATGCTTGTTAGTTGTTTCTCACGTCTTTGTGAGGTAGAACAGTATTATGACCCCTGTCTTAGGGAAGGCCTGGGGACAGGCGTGGGACAGGTAGTTCTGAAGAGAGGCTGATGACTGTGCATAGGTGTGGTCTGCCCTTTGGTGCTCTCCAGCTCAGCTGCTAGGAAGACTTACCTGTCGTGATTTCTATAATAAGGACACTGAACATTCTTAACGCTTGATGGAACACTCAAGGCTAGTCTAGAAGGGCCAAAGATGTCCTTGTTGACAAAGCTGGTCTTTGTCATGTAATTAGAGTGTCCTAGATATGTTCCATTTCTAGTAGGGGCTATAGTTAGATGACTCTTGTATAGACTTCAGTTACCTATGCTGAAAATCCCTCCCTTAGGTTAGCCTTTAGAAGGTAGAGTTGTGGAAAGCAGTTTTGTTTTCTTTATTAGCAGTTGTTAACCTATACTTTTCATGGAAGCATCTTCACAAACTGTTGGACACACTTGAAGGGAAAAAAAAAACAAAACAACCCACAAGATTGTTTTTACGGTTTTAGCAAGCTTTCTATGGATGCTGGTAATTTATACTTGATCAGTTGTATTCTAGCAAAGAACCTCTTTGGGGACTCTAGGAAAGCATGTTTTTGCCATCATAACACTTAAAAAAAAAAAAACCCTGAGAATTCTGGGCTTGTATAATGCCTGTTGATCTTGCCCTCTTAATCGGTTTGTTGTTATTCACAAATGCAAATAGATTTTCAAACTACAGATAGTTTTGGAAGATACTAATTCCTTTTTATTTTAGTCAAGAGTAATCTGAGCAAAGCAAGTGTCCGTTATTTATTCTGACTCTTGTAGTCTGAATACCAAGTGTATGAGACTCACATGAAAATAATATAGCCAATTTGTAGGTAATCTTATTACTTTGTGTTTTTTTATGCACATCTACCTCTTCCAGCTGTTTTAAGTTCTCTTGAGTCTGTGCCTATGAAATCTCATCCAACTTTTGATTATTCCTGGGTTTATGATCCACATTCTGGGTCACTTGGTCTTTTGCTGACTTTTCATACGATTGCACAGTCTCTAGCAGCAACTTTCGAGCATGGGTTCAAAGGGGAGAGGAGATTGAAGCTAATGTAAAATAATTTACTGGCAGTGGAATTCTTTGGATTTCACTGACCCACTCTGTTCTTTCTGTTACCATAGATAAGAAAGCCAGCCACTACTTCACTATCCCTTCTGTGACCACATCCCTCAGCAGAAGAAAACAGTCCAGGCACCAAACACCCCACTCTCATGGTGCAGCTAAAATGTGATTCCATTTTTCTTACAATTCTTCAAGGAACATAGCTGCATTAAGTGAGGTTTGGTGCATTCAGGAGGTTGTTTCTTGTATCTAGTTTTAGAAAAATAGTATTTCTAAAGCAAACCCTGGTAACTGGTTCACCCTTGAAAATGTTACTCTGAAGATTCCTTCCACCAACTCATTAATGATGGTGGAGGCAAATGTATCATTTATTTCCTGGGGAGTTTGGTCAAGTGCAGGCTGCCCTTTACTGAGAAGAAGCTAGAGCAGTTTTAAATAGGTTAAATGGCTTGATTAAATATTGAGCTCTGAGCTGGAAGGAGAAGACGAGAAGTTAACCCCTTGAGCCATGTGGCCTCTTCAAGATCCAGAGGCTGTACATATGTGAAAAAGTACAAATTAAGAACCTGTGTTCGTAGACAATCTGAACTGTGTTTCTGAAGTTTGTGCACATTTTCCTTCACTGTAATGTTATTTTACAGCTGTTTGTTAAAATGGTGAATAATTTAATGATCCTAAAAGTAACAGGTTTTGTGTGCGTGTGTGCTTGTGTATGTGAGAATTGCCTTATTTTCAGGTTTTATTTAATGATGGTTCCCTGGACAGCATTGTGGTGTTCAGCAACCAGTATGGAATATTTGTCATTAAATCCGGATCAGTCTTTTACCATGTCAGTCTTTCCTTTTTACTTGTCACCCATTAGATATCACTCAATTCAATCTACAGAAGGTGTGCTCTGGTAGAACAGGAGTGAGCAAACTACCAAATCCAGCCTGTCCCTCTGTATGAATAGAATTTTGTTGGAATACAGTTCTACCCAGACAGCCTTCCTGACATAGTGTCTATGGCTGCTTTTGCACTACAATGGCAAGGCTGGGTAGTGGTGACAGAGGCTACGTGATCCACAATTCGAAGGTATTTATGATCTGGATCCGTACAGAAGAAGTTTGCTGACTCCTGATTTAGAATGTTCCAGCGGATCCTAGATCCTGGAACTGGCTGATGTCTAAACAGCCTGTGCATTGTAACCCATAATTCAGTGCAACACTTTTGCACTAATGTGGCTTTGGGATGTTGGGAATGTGTTAATGTTATACTGTTGTACCGATTTCCAAAGATCTGTGTCTTCGTTCCTTGTAAGAAGCAATCTGTGGGGAATTTTGGCAGTAGGCAGGGGGAAGATAGTCACGGAGAAGGCAGGCAGCCTCAGGTCCCATCTCTGATCTATAAAACATGTATTCGTGAATCACATAACAAAGTATTTTCTCTCCCCCAGTTCTCGGAAATGCAGCTTAATGACTGTAGATAATACTGAACGGAACTTATCAGCTAGACTGACCTTTTGCTCGAAATATTTTCTAGGGCTTCCCTGGTGGCGCAGTGGTTGAGAGTCTGCCTGCCAGTGCAGGGGACACGGGTTCATGCCCCGGTCCGGGAAGATCCCACATGCCGCGGAGCGGCTGGGCCCGTGAGCCATGGCCGCTAAGCCTGCGCGTCCGGAGCCTGTGCTCCGCAACGGGAGAGGCCACAACAGTGAGAGGCCCGCGTACCGAAAAAAAAAAAAAAAAAAATTTCTAGCTAGTCTCTGCCCATGGAGACAATGAGACAGCAGTTTGTAAGGAAGGGGTTCACAAGAAACAAAAAAGAGGAAGCATGATAATAAAAACACCTTAATTTCTTTTGATGAGCACAGCTGCCTCCTTGAGTGAATGTCCACAGCCCTTTCCCTGCCTAGCAGGGCCAACGGATGCTGGGTTCTGGTTCTGGAAGAAGGCAGTCAGTTCTGTGACTGCAGCATTCCTCCCCGAGCCTGACTGTTCTGGCTCCTAGTCTAACTCCTAGTCTCTGGGAACCTACATTAAACCAAGCATTTGAAGTACTCAGTGTCCTGTGGGGACACAGCAGTAAACCTGGCCTTTGGTGCTGCACCGTGAGGGAATGCTCAACCTCGACTTCCAATTAGAGCAGCCCCTGTCCACGTTCCAGGTAGAGAAGGTGTATCTGGTCAACTCGGAATTCTCCAGGCTTGGTTAGTTTCAGACAGAGATTTTCTTAATTTAACATTAACTGCACAGTAGAATTACCTGGAGAGCTTTAAAAACAAACCCCCCCAACCCCACCCCAGAACACTGTTCAAGACATTGATTAATTGGTCTGGGGTGATATCCAAGTACCCTGTGATTTTATAAAGTCTTCCCAGGTGATTTTAATGGGAATCTCAACCAGGGTTGAGAGGTCTGTAGGATGAATTAAGCACCTCCTTTCTTTCTTGGGGATTACGGTAGGTGAAACTCCTAAGCCGCAAATCCTTTCCTCTGCCTCTGTCAGAGGGCATCTGTCAGATGCAAAGGGTATTGTCAGATGCAGCAGGCTCTGTTGCTTGTCTACTCTTGGTAGGCCTCCGTTTCACACAGGCCTTCCCCAAATAGTTAAAGATAATAAGTAAGGGCCAGGAAAAGTGCCTGTCTTTGCTGTTCATCAGATAATGCCCCAGGGGCATCTCAGGCTGCCACTGGCCCTTCTCTGTATTTGCCAACCACAGACTGCCTGCCTTCCTTCCTTTCTGACCTTCATTCCCTGTCTCCACTCACTTAACAAAGCAAAATTCCATTCATTTCTCTTTTTCTCAGCTGCGCTTGGCAGTCGAATTGTTTCCTAAATTTTGCTGCTGGAGGGAAAGGGGAGGAGGTCCCAGCTTGAACAGACTAGTGTCGTGCTCTTGTCTTTTCCAGCCAGAGCTAAGCAGTCCCTGCTGCATGCCCCTGTTTCAAGGTCACCTCTGCTAACCCAAAACACATTCCAATGGTTTTCAATTTCCAACTGCCCTGATGGGATCCAGGTCACACTGTTCACAGCCCTCTGCATCCATTTGTGATGAGGTGACCTACCTCATCACAGCAGCCAGGATGCTCAGCTTTGGAAACCAAAGAGGTAGGTGGCAAGGTGTTCCATGTACCAAGTTGTCCTGTGCTTAAGAAGGTTGAAAAAAGGTATCAGCGTATGTGCAGTGCTCAAGCTAGCATTCTCACATATATATTTGGAGGGATTTCATCCTGAGTGAAAGGACTGAAAAGTTCCAGGCCCCAACAGTTGCTAGAGACTTAGGGATTCAATGGAAGAAATTCAGTGCAAACATTTATTCACAGAAGATACTCCTTTGGGATGCTTTTCCTGAGCTATGAGGGCTGGAGTAGTTCTGCAGAGATGTTCCCATAATATCTGTACACACATTCCTGGTGTATGGGCGGTCGGTCTCCCTCGTGCCCCAAAGCTGTGGCGTATTAAGAGTGGAGACCCTGAGAAGTTCACTCCATAGCATGCTCAGTGCACATGTGCTGGGTAGTGCTTGATGCTGGGGATACAGGTATGAGAGGGAGAAGCTTCCATGTTCTAATACTCTACAACGGTGAAGGGAAGACTGATTTTGTCCCCTGCCTAATATCAAACCCAGTTTCTTTGTGGTGATCATTTTGCAAACTGTAAGTATAACTTTGGGGATTTCGCCTCTGGTTGGGTTGGGGAGGAGGAACTTCTTAATATCAAGACTTCAAATGTTATGCCTAGGCAAGATGGTACTCCAAGCAAAGGCTCAGGATGGAGCAGATTCTCTGAGGAGGGCTTGTGTGACTGTAAGTTGGGGACACCACTGCTGCAAATCAGGTAGTGTCCACTTGATCTGTCTTTGAGGGTGGGGCAACAGGGCAGTGTGTGACCTTGGAGAGGCTAATGAAGCAAGGGGCTGCTAAGCGATCTGGCTAGATGTTTCTATTGTCAGGTCTGTCAGGAGGTGTCTGAATAAAGTAGGACTTTGATAGACAAGGACCACCTCAAGGCTTGGGCTGAGGTAGCTCTACTGCTCCCTGGGTTGACGCTAATGGACATAGTAGAGGTCATGGACCTCACCTCACGGCCACAAAGCCTCTGGGCTGAGGGAGCCACTGTCCAACTTTGCTGCAGCTTGGGCTGGGCACTACAGGTGGACTTGATCTTGGCCTTGTCTGTCCAGTGGAAAGATGCAGGTATGAGGTATGGAGAGAAGACCTTACAAAATAACACACATGAAGGTTCTTGGAAGGTTTAGGGGCTTGTATCATAGCTCCTGGGAGACGAGAAGGAGGAGAGAGGCAGTTGCTTGCATGTCTGTGTTCTCTTGAATTTCCAGCTCCTGAGGCAGAGGGATGAGGGGATGGGAGGCCACGGCCTTCCCTTATCCAGGGACAGAGGGAGAAAGGAGGAACCAGTCCTGCTATCCCTTGGAGGGCGTGCGGTGCTGGGGAGAGGGCAAGGCATTCTGGTGTTCACTGGCTGCGGTCTGGAACAAGGCTTGGATTTTTCTGGGTCTCTGTTTCCCCTTCAGGAGGCACTACCTCTATTGATTCTCCCTACTCTAGTGTCTCATAATTATCCAAGAGCTTCACACCTGCTCGGGGCACATCCATAGCTCCATGCAAGAATGCCATGAGAACTCGTCTAAATCAGCAGTAGGTTCTGCAGCTCAGCTCATGGGATGTCAGTGGAGGGTGGGACCTTGCTCAGCCCCCGGCCTTGGACCTCCGCATTTAGGAGGGTATTATGTCCCTTTACAGATGAGGTGCCAGGTGCCAAGAGAGCTGGGGAAGGGCTAGGAAACCACGTTCTCAGCCTTGGCTTTGCACAAACAAAGAAATATTCAAGGGGAGGACTGTGTTATGGTGAAGGTTAGCTGCAGAAGTACAGGGTACCAGGGACACGCAGCCAACTTACAGCTGCCCAGTATCATTGTGATGAACCTTAGAAATGGGCCACAACCTTCATTTTGCAGGTAAGGAAACAGACCCAGGAAAGTAAAAGGATTTGCCTAACTTTCATGGCAAAATGGAAAGAGAACCCAGAGTTTTCACTCTTGTTTGTGGAAATGGTCTGCTTCTCAAATAAGAATCCTTTCTTCCCTTTGCCCTCATCTTCCCCCTTCCTCAGGCCCCCCTCACCCGATTACTTTTGTTCCTGTACCATGAAGCCCCTGCCTGTCTTTATTCACGCAGGACCCCCATTCCACAAGCTGAGGAGGGAGGGTCGGCGCTGTATGGGCACCATAGAAAGCTCAGGCAGCTGGTATGCTGGTTAAGCCTGCCCTCTGCCCTCTTTCCAAATGCTCTCTCTCATCCCCCACCCCACTGTTTTTCCTTAACAAACATGTTGGTAGGGCAGCCTCCTGGCTCTGTGCCTTCTCTACCACCAGGAGGCTGTGCTTCTCCCTACCCCCTGCTCAGCTCTGCGTTCCCAGGCCAAGCTCAGGGCAGCAAATATTAGGTCACCATTACAGGTGGGTATGGAGTCCAAGTTTGTCTTGCTTAGGGGACACTCATACTTGGACCACCTTCACTCCATTCCCTAAAATCCTGTTATTCTAGTCCGAGTCCCTTCCTTTAAGAACATTGTCTTCCTTCCTTCCTTCCTTCCTTCCTCCCTCCCTTTCTTCCTTCCTTCCTTCCATCCTTCCTTCCTTCCTTCCTTCCTTCCTTCCTTCCTTCCTTCCATCCTTCCTTCCTTCCTTCCTTCCATCCATCCTTCCTTCCATCCTTCCTTCCTTCCTTCCTTCCTTCCTTCCTTCTTTCCTTCCTTCCTTCCCTCCCTCCCTCCCTTCCATAACTATTGGCTGAGTGTTTGCTTGGGGCCAGGTGTGCACAGGTGTCAGTGCAGGGTCCCCGTGGTGCCCTCCCAGAGTCCACAGTCTAGGCGGGGAGACAAGTTAATAAGCAGCCATGCTGGACAGTGACGGGTGCCTATCGGAGGGTCACTCCCCCGCTCCCCGGAAGGTGGGAGACTTCCTGCGGAGGTGCAGCCTGAAGCATGAAGAGCTGAGGAGGGAAGGCTGCCAGGGGACTGTGAATGTGCTGCAGGCAGGGGCGGCTGTGGTGGAATGCGGTCCAGCGACGGGTAGAGATGTGCTG